TCATGAAAGAAAAAAATTTGAGTAGTAACATACATCATTACAATGATTGTTTAAAAGATAACACAAAAGCTAAGGTGTGCTCATTTTCACCAAATATGAACAGATTTGAAAGTCTGGTAGAAGAAAAACGGTCTTCCTTTAAGCGCTGTCACTGCCTTGGGTGTCTAAAAAATCAGCAAAGCTCCAGAACCAAAGCTTTCGCATTACATATATTTATCCAAGCCAAGCGATTTCAACATAAAGTACTTTGAATTTAACAATTTAATACTAGGGGCCATTTCTTCTAAAAAGAAACATCTGTCTTCTTAAATAAAAATAACAGCGAAATAAAGCATTCACAGATAAGTTTTGTAAATACAGGGAGAAGACAGCAAGACGAATTATTGGACAGATCTATGTGGAAAGGGCTGCTTTTAGCAAAGTGGCTTTCTGAAAAACCTCCTCACACTGGCATCTGCCTTCCTTCCAACAAGTTTCTGAGATTCATGTATTTTTGAATTAGCAGTAGTCTTCAAGTTTGAAAAAGTTTTGTGCTGCATCTTTTCAAATGCTGTACTAAAATTGCTCATCTTCAGTGTCCAGAAACCATTCTATAGAGACCTTGGCCAGGCCTAGCATTGAAAATTCCCCAAAGCCCCCAAACTCTAAACACATGTTCGTCCTTCTGCCTGGCCAGTCCCCACCCTAAAACTACAGAGTGTGGCCAGCCTCACCGTAAATTTGTTAGCATAAGCTCTCAGGTGTGGTTGGAGGGGCCCACAATGAATAACAAGGACACTCTTACCACTTAGGAAATTCCAAAGGTTTAGAAGTTAGCTACAAAGAAGCCAGAACTCTCTTTGAGCAAGGCCAAATTTTTCACTAGGCACAGAGACAATGAATCCATCAAATTCTCATACACAGAAGTGATATGCTTGAGAATGCACTAGATTTCCTTAATTTCAAATTTCTCAAATTCTGTAAAACTCTTGTTCAGTATATAATATATTTCTATCCACTGTCTTGTCAAGTACATTTTCAAGGGCTTGACTTGGTTGAACAAAGTAGCACTGTCTTTGTTCTCCATCATGGCCCAAAAAACTAAGGATACTAATGTGTGAGGAAGCTCGGTCTTATCTTTCATCTGAATACTATTTCGTTCTCCCTCTTTTACCTAAACCGCTTTTCCTCTAAAACAAACAAACAAACAAACAAACAAAAACAAAAAAAACATTACTTTTTTAAAACATTAGAAATGTGACTTTTATTCATCTCTGTCCTATGTATTCCTGACACAGAAAATATATTTGTTTACTAAATAAACATAAGAAATTAGTTACTGAAAGAATGATGTGAATGGGTAGATTAGTTAATTAAAATTTCAATTAAAGATGCTTTCTAGGAGGGGCCCCTTATTGGCTTTAGGATTCAGAGGACTTTAGTAAACTGAGTTATTGCTGCAATTATTCACCCCTCCCTCTCTCCTTGCCCTCTGCCTATAACTTTACAGCAATTCTCAAAGAAACAGAATGGACTTCTCTGACCCTTGACTTTGGGCTGGGTTATTTGATTTGCTTTAGCCAATAAGATGTTAGCAGAAGAGAAGCAGGGGCTTAAAATGTGTTTGCCTGGTTGGACTTGCCCTCTTTTGCTTTTGTCAAAGCTAAGAGAATAACATGCCCCAGTAGTCCCGTGTCAGAGAAGATAAAGAGACGTGAAAAAGACCTTCATCCAGTGTGCACCTTGGAGTCAAGCCTCCCTCCCACAGAGTGCATGCCTGAGTTCCTCCTGTAAAATGACACGTGCCTCTCTGAGTGCAAGCTCAGCCTCCAGATATATGAGTGACAATGAATTTGGGTGTGTTTTGTTACACAGCACTATTATGGCAATAGCTGACTAAGAGAAAGAGAATTATAGAAAATAACTGGAAGAGGTACCTATGACCTCAAGTCCATTTTCTCTAAATTGGCTTATGATTTTCCCGCTTCTGCAAGTTCCAGCTCTTCTCTTTAGCTTTTCTCTTCCAAGAAACATCATCTATACTTCTCTCATCTCCCAAATATATTTGAGAGCATTTCATATTTATTGTGTTTGCTCACCTGTGAGTGATTTCAATGGTGTGATAGTTTAATCATTCAGAAAAGTACTATTCAAAAGTAATACCAACATAAACCAGAGAGAGAGAGAGAGAGAGAGAGAGAGAGAGAGAGAGAGAGAGAGAAAGAGATCAAATTCTACCTGGAAGAAGTCAAGCACATAAATATATACTCCACTAGTGGTGCTCCAAATATATTTGATACTTTATGCAAATGTTATATGTGTGTTTGAAAAAGCCATCAGTTGTTGACTGAGAACATCCAAAAGCAAAAGCGGTTTTAATTTTTTAGGAAATTAAATCTTTTGAGCCTTTTAAAAATAATTTTTTGAATTTTTTAAATTAAAATTTTTTCATTGAAAAATATATTAAATTGAATAAAAAGCATTTTCTACTCTACCATAAGACTCTAACAACAACAACAAAAGAAATATAATGAAAATGAGGAGATAAAAATAAGGAAATCAGAAGATGACTAAACTATATACAAATTAACAAAAGTTGTTTTCATACAAACCAAGTTTACAAGGATGATCTCTATCTTTTTCATTTTATTCTTTCAGACTTGATTTTTGACCACACTTCCTCAGGAAATCTGATGGATTCATTTTGATTGACAACAGCAGCAATCCTTCCGTTTTTAGTGCGAACTCCTTTGCCACCAGGTGTGAATAATTTCCTTACTTGGAAGCCTTCTCAGGCTGCTGTCTCTTCTCCCTACAGAGGCTTCTATGCAGAAGATGGCACATGTGAACGCTGTAGCTCCCCTTGCAAAACATGTGAAGGAAATGCCACCAACTGCCACTCTTGCGAAGAAGGCCTTGTCCTGGACCAGGCAGTGTGCCGGGAAACCTGCTCTGAGAGGCACGTGGCCGTGGAGGGGGTATGCAAGCATTGCCCAGAGATGTGTCAGGAGTGCATCCACGAGAAAACGTGCAAAGGTACCTGGGAGCATCCCAGGGGAGAGTGAGGCTCTGCCAAGCCACCCCAGCTGGGGCCAACTATCTGAGGGTGGGGTATCCAAGTTGAACTAGGGGAAATATTCTCCCTACCTTTAATGAAATTTATATACCTCCGTGCACATCACTGAGGAAAGTGAGGGTGAGATAAAGCCTTCCCATTGTGGATTCTGCAAGTTAACACAGACAAGAGCCCCTTTTGCATGACTTCTTCCCCGCACGTGTACTGAGCACTTAGGGTGTGCCAAGCACTATGCAAAGCTACAAGCAACTATAAGACTAAGAATAGCACTCTGGCTTGGAATTTTTTTTCTCTGGAATTATCTCCCAAGAAAGGCTTATTTCCTCTCCAGAATAAGAGAGACTCATTTAACTGGTGCTATCCTATCCAAAGGATTCTCTTGGTATAACCTAAAGTTTTCCAGAACTCCCTGCAAAAGAAAAGAATGACCACAAACCCACAATGCATTCTTCATACTGATTAACCATGTATATTTCATTGGTCTACCCAATCAGCGAATGAAAAATTAACTAATCCAAGAATTCTTCAACTGTTTTCTGTATTAAATAAAGCCTGAGGTGCTCAATACAGCTTGAAAAAAAATCTGTGAATGCTTTCTGGGTTTCAGAACGATACCTTCTGCATTTCAGCCATCACTAGGTCTGTTACGGCACTATAATTTTCTGCACTTCCAAGCGGCAGATGGTTTCAGGATATAAACCCAGCACCATCTAATTAGGCCTCCATATGTGGTCTCAAATTCCAATTCAGGGCTTGTGGGACATGGAGAATGTGCCCGTGTGGAGCAGGGACGAGGTAGGTGTACACTCAGGTCAAGTGAGCCAAAGTGGTGAGGGATGGCCTGCCACCGTAGAAAGAAGGAATTCCTTTCTCTTGTCCTCCTGGTGATAACTTGTTGTTTCCCCCTCCTTCCCTGCCCCCCCGCCCCAGAGTGCATGCCTGAGTCCTTTCTGTACCAGGATATGTGCCATCGGTCTTGTCCCCACCACTTCTATGCGGATGCACGCCACTGTGTTCCCTGCCATGAAGACTGTCTGCAGTGCAATGGCCCCTCAGCAGATGACTGTGACCTCTGTGCTGAGTCATCCTTGGTTCTCTATGATGGGAAATGTCTGGACGAGTGTCCAGCAGGAACTTACTATGAAACCGAGACTAAAGATTGCAAAGGTAATGATTCCGGGAACATAGTTGAGCCCGCATCACAGGGAGCCTAGAAGAATTATGGGTTTCCGCTGAGGCAAAGTACGTTCTAGAGTTTTCACAGTTCCGGCCCCAGAGTTGTTGTTCTACCCCTTTTCCTCATATTTTGAATCTATTCTAATTTTTTTTTTTTTAAATGAGTCATTCATTTGCTTTGATTACGTAACTTTCGTTAGCAATGAATCATGTTGACCTTACTCACAACAGTGGCAGGTCAAAAAGGATTCTCATGTGAAGATTTACAACACAGATGACAGGACTTCAAAAGTCACCCAAAATGGAGTTTTTTTCTTAAAACTTTAAGCCATTAAAGGTTTATAAAAGAGTCATCACATTGTGCACCTTCAACTTACACAATGTTATCTCTTTTTATAAAAGAGTCATCACATTGTGCACCTTAAACTTACACAATGTTATCTCTTTTTATAAAAGAGAGCTGTGTCATACAAGGTTTTCTCAGGGCCTCATATCTCCCTTCACATTTCGCCTCCTGGAGATCTCTTCCTTCTCTCCTCATCACCCCAGCTCCTCCTGTCCCGGGTGCCCTATTCCATCTCCCACGCGACACTCCAATCCCAACACATTCAGGAAAGGATCTGCTATTATTTATGCCTCCATATCTTTCAACTGGGCATGAATTCTTTGCCTCTTATTAGTTATCAGGGAACAGAAAAACTACATTCTTGCCCATTGCTAGAGGAATTCTCACGTGAATAAGAGAAGCATTTTGGAGGAAAAGATTTTTCTTTGTCCCCACTCCCAACCCCCAGTTTTACTGAGATATAATTGACATATAACATTGTGTAAGTTTAAGTACACAATGTGATGACTTAATATACATATATATTTAAAAATTATGACCACAATAATGTCAGTTAATATATCCATCACCTCACAGAGTTATCTTATTTTTTGGTAAGAACATTGAAGATCTACAATCTTAGCAACTTTCAAGTATACAGTTCAGCATTGTTAACTGTAGTTATAGGATTCACTCAAACTACACAACTATGTAGTAATTTAGTCCCCATTGCTGCCTCCAAGCAAACACAAGATTCAGAAGCAGACCCCGTTAACACAATGAGAGCTTGAAGGTGAACTCACATGGCAGGAGAAACCTCAGGCCACCCACATCCTGGAACATACTCGAGGAAATGTTTTTGGCAGGACATGAAGATGTATCTTATTCCTGAAGGCTCTCTGCTCTAGCCTTATAATCTGGATATACCCTTTTGTGTGTTTTATTTAAAGCATTCTTTAGTGTCAATGTCCCACCTGACTATGTGTGAATAAACATGCACTTGAAGATGGGCAGCTGTGCCTGTATAGCAGAAGGGGCAAAAGTGAGCATATGAAGCAGGCTGTGGAGCTGGGGGCCAGTTTCCACAAGAAGTTTAGAGACTCGGCCAAAGGCCTGCAGTGCCATCTTGCTTGTACTAGGGCAGGATCTGGGGATCAACTTCTGACATTTCTCTGGTGTTCAATAATAAAAGTAATTTGCCGTATAGACAACTTTACAGGTCTCAGAGTACATTTACTTAATTTACTTGATTTAACTTTCTCATTGAGAAAGGCCCCTGGTTGCCCATTAGAATCAGCTGGGAGCCTTGAAAAAATATAGATGCCTGGCCTCACTCAGACCAACTCAACTGTTGGAAACTAACTCGAAGTCTCTCCCTTGCAGTGCTATTGCACCTTCCACCAGTCTAAAGGGAGGCTGATAGAAGTTGGCACTAGGAGAAATAGGGTGACCACCTGATTTTCCAGAGAGAAGAAACAAAGGGCCTGACCTAAAAATTAAGATTCGAGTAGGTGCAGAGAAGCATCCAGAACCAAGCACTCTCCAAGCAGGATCTCCTCTAAGAAGCACAAGGACTTGGGACCCATTCTGATCACCCCAAATTATCCCCTACGAGATAGACTAGACACCTCTAAAACTCCCATACCTCTCCTGAGGCACTGGGGCAGAATAGCAAGAGCTGTTGTTAAGGTCCTGGGTTCAACTCCTGACCCTGCCCTTTTCCCGTCAAGCAGCTTAGCACCTCCAGCCTCAATTTCCTGATCTAGATAAAATGAGATGATAATAATCACAATAATAATACTATGTGATAATATCACAATAATAATATTATGTGCCAATTCACACAGTGAGTGCTTATATGTGCTTTGTGCTCTTCCATGCATGGGGAACAGCAGGGGACAATACAGACAGAATCCTGCCCTTTTAGAGCTTACATTCTATTAGGGAAGGCAAATTCTAAAGAAGATAAGGCAGGAAGTGGGACAGGAAGTTGGGCAGAATAGAGTTGAAATTAGAGAGAAAGCAGCCTGGGAGATATCACTGATAAATGGAGGAAGCAAACCACGTATATAACAGGGAGAAGAAAATTTTAGGCAGAGGGAATGGCAACAGCTAAAACCCCTAAGTGGGACTGAATTGTTTTTATTGTATTCATCTAACAAATATTTACTGAATGCCTGTTATATGCCAGGCCCTCTTATAAGCATTGTGCATTCATAAATGACTATAAAAGAGGCCTTTTTTGTCAACAGGTAATTATAATATATATCGATGCTAGTGATAAGCTCAAGGTATTCTGGGAGGGTCATTGAAGGACCACAGAATAGGAGTTATGGTGGCGAAAAGGCCACAAACCAGTGGTTTTATTATTTTGTTGCAGTTTGGATAATTATAGTAAGTCTTACTAATATTTCTGAGGTGACTGTTGCAGGAATGGGCTCTCCAATTATTACAAAAAATATGAAACAGCCTTTCTTTCTCATTTTGCAACAAGAATGCTCCACCCAGAGCCCAAGAGCTGTACCCATTTCATGGCTCCACACTCTTGGCACAGAGCCCTAGAAATCTCTAGGTGAAAAGAGGAAGAAATGTGAATACGCTTTCCAGGGAAATTGATTCCCTAGAGGGGCACCCTGGCTCTCTCTCACTCTCTGCCTGCTGTCCCCACACCACCAACAGATTGCCACAAGTCCTGCCAGACCTGCTCATCATCCGGGACCTGCAAGACCTGTAAGGAAGGCCTGAGGGTGAACAGCCATGGGGACTGTGTGCCTCACAAGGAATGTGCCCCCTCTGAGTACTGGGATGAGGACACTCTGGGATGCAAGCCCTGTCACACTAAGTGCTTCCGCTGCACGGGACCCTCTGAGGACCAGTGTCACACCTGCCCGAGGCACAGCCTTCTCCTCAGTGAGTCACTTTTATCTGAGGTGGCCTTTATCTTTCCCTCCATTTGGGAAACTACCTTTCACAATGCCTGGTGCCCAATAGATACTGGTGTCTTTCTTTTCAATTTTTTACTTATGTTTGGAAAATTTTCAAACCTACAGAAAAGATGCAAGAGCGAGAACAATACAAGGAGCACTACACATATGCCCTTTCCCCACTTTACCCATTGTTAACCTTTTACCCCATTTGCTTTACTGTTCTCAGTCTCTCTCAATGTATATGCATACATAATTCACAATGTATTTTTTTCCTGAACCACTTAAGGGTATGCTACATATATCATGATCCCTTTCCCACAAATACTTTATAGTATGTATTTATTTCCTAAGAATAGGGATACTTTCTTATATAACCAAAGTACATTTGTCAGCTCTAGTGAATTTAACATTGATACAATACTTTAATATACCATCCATATTATAATTATATCAATTCGTTTTTAAAACTGGGTCTAGTCTATAGTTATGGCATTTAGATGCCATGTCTCTTTAGCCTCCTTTAATCTGAAACAGTTCCACAAACTTTTGTTTTTTATAATATTGACCTTTTAGAAGGATACAATCCCTAAACCTCCACTGGAGTTTGTGTGAAGTTTCCCTATGATTAGATGAAAATTATGCATTCTCAGGTGGAATATTGCATAGGTGATGTGTCCTTCTGGAGACACATGACAGTGATGTTAATTTTGGTCATCTGTTCAGGGTACTGTCCAATTTCTCCACTGCATAGTTATTGTTTTCCCTTGTGATTAAAAAGCGGTCTGTCAAGAGATACTTTATGAACATGTAGATATTCAGCTCCTCATCAAAATTTCCCCTTGACTTAGCATCTGTTGATTAATAAATCTTGAACAAAGTATGGCACAGTCTGGGGTTGGCCACCTTCAGCAAGAGTCACTTATGAAGGTTATTGCTAATGTGAGGCAATGCCCTCATTAGGGCATTGAGGGATACCACAATTAGGCTTAACACAGGTATGGGAGAAAGAAAATGAAACAACAATTAGGCTTACCACAGGTATGGGATACCACAATTAGGCTTAACACAGGTATGGGAGAAAGAAAATGAAACAACACTTGACTCAACTGAAAGAAGGAGCAGTGGAGAGGTATAGGAAAAAGAGAAGAAAGAGATGAATGTGCCGAAGACCTGGAAAGCATTAGCATCCATCTCCCCAACCTAGTAGAGTAGACCTGAGAAGCAAAACACTCAGAGGAAAAATTGTTACACCCCTATAGAATGGTGGTGAGGTGTCATCAACAATGGCACCATTCCCCTGCTAAGACATAGGGATAGCTACCGTCATGCCATTCCTGATTACCTCCCAACAGAAAACGGAGATACCAGTCTCCTCTATCCACCCAGCTTAGCTCCTCTTACACAAACCACAGTGACCTTTCTTCCCAGTGGCTACTGCTTCATACAAATATTCCAGATCTCTTACATCATCCTAACTGCCAGGTCCTTCTTTTTTAATTATCCCCAATTTAGAATGCTACCAATGATCACCTCAGTCTTCACACCGACTAGAAGATGCCTTATCACTGGTGGTCTTCCCTTAAACTAGGGATATGAACTAGACTAGAACAGAGACGTCAGCACTAGTGTGTGTGCAATCCTGCTAATAAGATTACACACACTAGTGTGTGTGTGATCCTATTAGCGAACACATTTTATCGACTTTGACCTCTGTTTCCCCCAAGGACTGGGCAGAGGGTATGCTCAGGCCTCATCTTCTCATACTCTCCCACCCTGTCCCTCACCACTACCCCCACAAGGGTTAGGCTAGTTATAAACTAGATAACTCCTCTGGAGGTTGTGGTAAACTGAATAATGCTCCCCCAAAATATGACTACATCCTAATCCTCAAACCCTGTTACCTGACATGGCAAAAAGGATTTTTCAGATGTGATTATTCAGGTCTTGATTTGGGAGGATTATTCTGGATTAACACAAGGGTCTTGATAAGAGAGAAGCAGGATAATCAAAGTTAGTAGTTCAAGGCTATGTGATGTCAGAGCAGAGGAACAGAGAGAAAGAGAAGATGTTACATTGTAGCTGTGAAGATGGAGAAAGAGGCCCCAAGCCAGGGGTGTGTGTGGCCTCTAGAAGCTGGAAAAGGCAAGAAACAGATTCTCCTCTAGCCCCTTTAAAAGAAACATAATAGCTCTATGGACCCATTTTAGACATCTGACCTTCAGAACTATAAAATAATACATTTGTATTAAGCCATTAAGATTATGGTGTTATGTTATAACAATAGGAAACTAATACAGAAGTGTTTCATATTTAGGGGATTAAGACTTCCCTCTAGTTAACGATACTTTAAGCTGGACAATGAACCACTGTCAACATCCACTTTTAACAAAATAGTCACCTGGCCTTTGCTAGATGCTAAAAAATCAGAGATGAATGACACAGCTCCTGCCCTGGAGTAGCTCAACGAGTCTCCCAGCACAGAGTTTGAATCCACAGCACCTCTAATAAGATTTAGCTTTTCCACCAGTGCGTATGCTTAATGCTGACTGGCGTTATGGAGACAAATTGGCATGTGGCCTTGAGTTGACCAGCGGCTCACAGTAAAAATGCAGGAGAGCCTGACTTCCTTTCAGTGAAGTTAAGCAGAGGGTAGGGAAGAAGTTGCCTCTAAAAACTACATGCTAAACTGCAAAGGCAGCAAATCTTGTTTTTTTGTTTTTCATTTTTGTTTTTGTTTTTTACTTTCTAATTAAACCATTCTCAATCTCCACCCCCAAATGTTAAGAAAGAAGAAAAAGGAAAAATTGGCAGCTCCGCTGGGGTTGGTAGAGGAAGGACTGGGGTGGTGTGAAGCTGAACTATTTGACTCCAACTCATCTTGCTGTACAGAGCAGATTTAAGGTTTTAATCTAACTTCTAAATACATGGGCAAAATAGTCTCGCTGTCCATAGAACTTTCTGTCATGATGGAAATGGTCTACATCTGTGCTGATGCAACTGAGGAACTAAAGTTTTAATTTAATTTTATTTTAATTCATTTAAATTTCAAGAGCCATACTGTGTAGACAGCACAGCAGAACTGAGGGTAAAATCTATGTATTAGAAGGAACATATTCAAGGCTAGAAATAGAGTTGAAATCATGGGAACGTGTCATCACACTTTCTGCTTTCTTCAATGGAGTCTTGACTCTTGCTACCCCAGCCCCTACTTTAAATGTACTCCCACTCATGAGAGACCTGTATGTCCTCTAGCTCATTTTGACAGACTATGGTTTATGTTCTGTCCAGCACGCCAGTCCACTCTAACCTCTGTTTTCTCTCCACTCCTAATGGCCTTATGGTTGATTCTCTTTCTTGGACATTCATCTCAGGTCATAAGGATACCTTTCAGCTCACAGGGACATTGTCTCATTACGCCTGCACCCCCCTCTCTCCGTGGTACACAGTGAGGAGCATATAGAGGACGTTGGAAAATATGTGTCATACTTGATACCAAGATAGACTCTTTTTTCTTCTCTTGGCAGACACTACCTGTGTGCAGGACTGCCCTGAGGGCTACTACACTGACGAGGACAGCCACCGGTGTGCCCCCTGCCACAGCTCCTGTAGAACATGTGAAGGGAGACACAGCATGCAGTGCCTCTCTTGCCGACCAGGCTGGTTCCAGCTGGGAAAGGAGTGCCTGCCTCAGTGCAGGGAAGGGTAAAATATTCAATATTCTTCCCCTGAATTTAATCCCATAACCACTTCTGATCTTACTTTTAGCAAACCCATTTTGTAGATGAGGAAACTAAGTCTCAGAACACTTGTATAACCAGACTGAAGGCTCACTGCTAGTAAGGGGCAAAGATGAGAGTCCAGCCCAGGTCTAACAGTCTCTAAAGGATTCCAGCCAGTTCATACTAATGGAAAGGAAACAGGAGAAGCAAGTGACCCAGGAAGAGAACACAAAGGGTCAGATTGTCAAATAAGACTCACATGCCAAACTTCACTTATGATTCAAAGGATACAAGCAATCACATGACAGAGATGAGGTGTTCTTCCTTTAGAAAAGTCCAACACCATGAATGTAGGTTCTTCTTCTTTCACATTAGGGTTTTTTCTGGTCACATTTAATATGAGAGGTCTAAGCAATGCATATAGAGCACTGATTTCACAAAGAGAACAATTTCAGTTAAATATCTCTTTAATTCTCCACTGATTCTTCAATCTGCCATGTTTCCATAAACCCATATATTACAGGTTAAATTATTATAAGTCACCCAGACACACAGATATATCCTTCTAAAAGCATTTCACAATAAGAACTCAATTACTTTTCTGCTAGGAAAAACTATTAGTGTATTTATCAGAAGGTCTGCTTACAAGCATATTTGGAAGAGGATTTGACTGGGTCATCCCTTTTTTACACAAAGGCATCTTAGTAAAGAGAAAGATTGATTACAGTCCTGCTGCTCTTCCTTCCCAATGAGTAACCTAGAGCACTGAAAGTTTCTAGACCCAACTTGAAAGGCTGCCACCTTAGACTTTTCTCAAAAGCTTTCGCCCAAATTGGCACATCTCTTCAGTTCTGTAACAATCACTGCTGTATGACTCATTTTAGTACTATGCACTGCCTTGTGTTTTGAGTCGCCTCATTCATTTGCTCATTCAACACATGCTTAATGAACACTGCCATGTATGTATAGGACAAAGACTTTGACCTTTAAGAGCTTATTCTTATTATACATCTCTTTTCAAAAAAATTATAAGCTCCTGGAAGAAAAACACCTATTTTTCACACATGCTACTACAACACTTAGAACAGAGGCACACACATTAGCAGCCCTCAAAACACACCGGCCATCTAGATCAACAGAGAAAGGGCCATGCCAGACAAGAGAGGGGATGAGGTTCCCTGCCTTAGCCCTTCCCCTTCATCCAAATAAGTGCCTGAAAAAAATCTAGATTTCATATAAAGAATCTCCATCTTCCTCAAATCAAGTCACTAAATACTCTTATGCACAAAAAAAAAGAAGACAATTGTTCCATGGTGTGTGAAGTTGCTCATTGGGAGGAGAGGCATGGGTTGCCATAAATCTCTTTAATGGGGAACAAATAGGGTATTAATGAGGTATGAGTAGAGATATTTAACTGAAATTGTTCCTCTTGTAAAATTCATGATCCACATGCATTGCATAAACTTCATATGTTAAATCTCTTTGCCTTGCAATGGGAGGTATGTAATTCTCTGCACCCTGTCCCAACATACACAATTATTCTGGTGTTTAACTTCAGAGCAGGATCTTAAAGGCCCCAGTTACTTGTTTGTGCTTATGCACGAAATCCTCTTCAAGACTATAAGGCTCAAGAGATTTCATAGCCACCTCATGCAAAAGAGTCATCAAAGCAAGCGGTGGCACTGTACTCTTCTCTTAATCTGATCCAGTAAACTCTCCATTGTCTTTCTTTTAGCATTACCCTTTAATACTTTTTAAAACCTACTTGGTACTGATATGATACACTTTTGTTCCCACAGCTCTTACTGATTCTTTTCGTCTTCATAACATTAGTAAAGCACATTTGTACACTGCTTTAGCATTTACATTGTTATTTCCACACATTGTGTATCTTTATATTGTGATCTGACTCTACAAAAATCCTATGAGGTTGATATTCTATTTCACAGATAAGGAAAGCAAGGTTCAAAGTCATACAGCTAGTAATACATGGTGTAGTCAAAACTAAAAATCAGATTTTTCTGACTTCAATCCTATGTATTCCTTCTGTTTTGTTTTGGGGGTGGGGGGTTGTTTTGTTTTGTTTTGTGTGAATTTTTGCTTTTCCCTGTTGCTTTTTCTTTTGAATCTTATGTGATCTTTATTCACTATTCAGTTCATGGTTGATGATTTCTTTGGTTTTCTTTTCATCACCTTGTCTCTCAAATGCCTCAGAATCTCGCTGATTGGCTCATAGCAGTAATTGTTCTTCACCTAACTGTGGAATGTAAAACAAGGCTTGATTTGCCACAAACTGGGCCATTGAGGTACAAGTATACTCACTTAGGTCAGTGATAGATGGCTAGGTAGAGGTAGGTTCAGTATTATCTAGCCACGGTGTTAGTTTTCAACAAGTTAGTGGAACTGAAATAAACTTGGGGCGGAGTAGGGGAACTCTAATGGGGCCAATAGTTTTGTGCAGAAAAACCAAGGGTGACTCTTTGGGTTTCTAAGATAGCTTCAGTGTGCGGAGGTCCAGAGTGCCCAAGATAGGTCACATAACCTCTAGAAGTTCATCTTTGACAATGATTCTTTTCTCTTTTCTCTTACCTGAAAACTTTTTATTTACCTTGAAATAATGCACTGCTTTGTTACAGTGGTACTTAACAAGTAAGTTCAAATCACACTGCTCCATTTTATTAGCTATTTACCCTTACGCAAGTTGTCTAAATTCTCTGAGCCTGTTTTTACATATGTAAAATAGAATAATATGCAAATCGTAAGATTTGCTATGAGGATTAATCATAAAATTCACAGTTATCACTAATATACATTAATTACTTATAACGTGTCAAGCACTGTTCTAACAAGTTTCTCAGTAATAACTTAATTTTAGGTACTTACATTAGCCCCATCCTATAGACCTGAGATGCAGAGATGATGTGTGACTTGCCTAAGGTTGCACAGCTCATAAATGGCATGGCTGGGTTTTGACCCCATGTAGTCTTGTTCCAAAGGGCAATCTCCTAATTGCCACACTCTAATGTCTCATTTTTATGTTCAATAAGGTGAAATATTAAGTTTATGAAGTTCCTAGTGTACTATCAGGTATATAGTTAAGGTATATAGTTATTTAGTCCCTAAAACTCTTTTCGATAAAGATTACATCTATTATTATGAAAACATCAGTATCACTCATGTCACCTCCAATTTCAAGATGTTATTTTTTTTAATTTTTTTTATTTATAAGCTTATAGGAGTAACATTGGTTAATACAATTATATAATTTTCAGGTGTACATTATAATTTCACATCTGTATATTCTATTGTGTGTTTACCACCCAAAGTCCAGTTTCCTTCAGCTACCATATATTTGATCTCCTTTACCCTGTCTACTTCCCCACTCCTCTCGCACCCCTTACCCTCTGGTAACCACAAGTCTATAGTCCATGTCCATGAGTCTCTGTTTGTCCTGTTCATTTGGTGCTTTTAGGTTTATTCTCACATATAAGTGATATCATGTGATTTTCAACTTTCAAGATGTTTTTTAAATTGAGAAATTAGAAGAACTCAGAGATACATTCAAAATGTTTTCCATTCCCGGATCCCATTCAATACATTTTAAAGCTTGAATTTTCAAGTGGAGAAGCATATGAGTATGTAGAAGGCAAAGGTAGTTAACAATTATCATGGTGATAAGTACTAGATCCTTTTATATGTTTTATCTAATTTAATTCTCATAAACAGAAGGGAAGGGATTGTAATACACAATTTACAGGTAAGAAAACTGAGAATCGTTAGATTTATTAATATAATTAGTGATGAATCTAATGAGTAAAGAATCTAAAGTCACCCAGCTTGTAAATGAACTCTTTCTGAGTAACCACGATTTTTCCACCACACCCAACTTAGGAGCAAAGCTTAGCATTCAGTCTTTGCTTCCCTCCTTGGTTTCAGATATTATGCAGAAAATGCCACTGGACGGTGTGAGAGGTGTAACAAGAGCTGCAAGGCATGCCGGGGCCCACAGCCCACTGACTGCCTATCTTGCGATAGATTTTTCTTTCTGCTCCACTCCAAGGGAGAGTGTCATCGCACCTGCCCAGAGCATTACTATGCAGACCGGAGAACACGGACCTGTGAGAGATGCCACCCAACTTGCAATGAATGCAAAGGTGAGGGCGTAGTTATCATTTTGCATGTGTAAATGGAAAAATGAAAAGTTTTCCTTCCTGCTTAGCCCGTCTCTTTTTTTCACCAACTTTGGAGGTTCCTCTAGCCTGTCAACCTCGTAGCCAATCTTCTCCAGCCTCAGCACCCTCTGTTCTCTCTCAGCTTCTGCATCTGCCCTCCGACCTAGGCTGCTCCTGTACCACACTGCTGCCTCTTCAGATCCTTCCATCCTTCAAGGCCCAGATACAAGCATTATCCCTTCCAGGTAGTGTTTTCCACCTACTCTGTCTTTCTTCTCTACCTGTTGAGCTTAGAATCAGCCTAGCAAAATTTATTTTAATTTCTTCAGCGACTACTTCAGACATCTGCCTCAGATTCTCCCAAGCTCTGTTCTTAGTTTCAGATACTTACTTATCTGAGCAAATACAATGAGTTTCCTCTGATATTCACTCCTTTTTTAATGAACCTACTGTCTAACCAATTGCCCATGTTTGATACCTTGAATTTATCCTCTCCTTGCCTCCTTGCTCAACTCATCTACCCTCCGGCAAAGGCAAACCTCAAGGTCTGTTGATTCTCTCTCCTAACCATTTCTCTACTCAGATCTCTTTCTCCATTCTCACTATCCTTATTCTGCATTCTCAGCATCTCTTAGCTGACTTTCTAAAGTAACCAGCATGTTATCTCAGTTCTGGCCTTGCTCCCAATCCAGGTCATCCTGTACAACAGCAATCCCCAATCTTTTTGGCACTTGGGACCGGTGCTCCTATGAGAATCTAATGCCTGATGATCTGAGGGGGAGCTGAGGCGGTGATGCTAGTGCTGGGGAGTGGCTGCAAATACATATGAAGTTTGGCTTGCTTGCACCCAGCTCACCTCTCTGACTGATCGGTACTGGTCTGCGGCCCAGGGGTTGGGGAACCCTGCTGTAAAATAATGCCAGAGTAATCTCTGTAAAATCCAAATCTGCTCATTTTCCTCCATAGCTTGACACAGAAATATGATCATGGTGAATTCTTCTCAGTATTTAAAAAAGAAATACCTCCTACTATATTTTGTTAAAACTTACTATTTTAATACTGATA